CTGTAACACTAGAACTTTTGTATATTACTGAGGGAAATGCAAAATGGGGCATTTGGGAAAAAACAACTTGGCAGTTTCTTATAAAGTTAAACATATATGTAATAATCTCACTCCTACCTATTTACCCCAGAGAAGTGAAAACACAGCTCTTGGCCAGGAGTTGTGTGTGGGGTAGACACAGAGCATTCTGGAAGAGGGAGCACTTGCACTCTTGCATGGAGGATAAAGAGGAGACAACAAGACAAAGCTGGAGATGTGGCTAGTGTGGGGCTTCGTGGGTTGTTGTGAGAATTTTGGCTTTTATTCTGAGAATGATGAGAGACTATTAAAATATTTTAAGCAAAAGGGAAGCATAAACATTGTGCCTTTTAAGCAGATCAGTCTGTTCACAGTATGGGGAATGGACTGGAAGGAGGCAATTATGGGACTGTGGGATGGTTGTTGAATTGTCTGGGAGAATTCATGACGGAGCTTGGGTTGGGGTTATAACCTTGGAGATGTTCTCTTTGAATTTCCCTGAGAAGATTTGCACTGGCACCTTTTATATAGTAACATTTATAAGAGACACAAATAATTACTTCTTTTAAAATATGTTTATCATAAAATGCTTGATATTTTAAAAAGAATTTATGTAGCATTAAAGTAAATTATAAAACATAATAGGAGATATGTGAAGCCATCTCTTTGTTCTAGAACTAGAACATTATTATCATGAAATCCTCTGTCCTAGTCTGTTTGCTGTTACTATATAACGGAATACCACAGACTGGGTAGTTTGTGAAGAATAGATATTTTTTTTTACCTCATGGTTCTGGAGGCTGGGAAATCCAAAAGCATGGTGCTGGCATTTGGTGAGGGTCTTCTTGCTGCATTATAACATGGCAGAGGCCGAACAGAGTAAGTGTGCTAGCTCTTGTCTCTTTTCCTCTTCTTATAAAGCCACTAATGCTTTCAGGGGACTCCACCCTCATGACTTCATCTAAACCTAATACCTCCCAAAGGCCCTGCTGCCAAACACCATTAACACGTGAATTTGGTGAGTAAGTATCCAACATACCAACTTTGGAGAATGTGATCTAACGTAGCACCTTTTGTAAGCAAGCCTCTGTACTCAATTTTAAAAAGGAATTGAAAACTGTTCTTGAATTGCAGTGATATCAGGACTTGCTATCCATTAGAGCCCATAAGCTCTGGAAGTGGCTGCCTCTGGAAGCTGTGGGAGGCCAAGCTGCAGACAGTCTGTGTAAGGACGTGGAAGAAGGATTCCCAGGAGAGGAGGGAGGGTGGATGACTTTAAAGGGCCCATTTTGAAATGCTATTTGCAGTGCAATAGAGAGCATGAAAACATGTTAAGAGCAAAGTTCTCAAGGGGCACTTAAAAACATGGGATGTTGGTTTTTTAAAATCAAATGTGGAACAGCTACTTTTTGGTAAGTCCCTTGATCTTAGGAACAAGTAAGATGAAACCATATGCATATATATATATATATATATATATATATATATATATATATACCGAACTATTTTAAAATTTTGAGCCCCAGGTAGTGGGTTAGAAGCTGATGAGACATTGTATAGAGCTTTTTGAATATAAGAAAACAGTTGAAATAACTCCATTTTCTATTCCATAGCAGGCATTGGCAGACTATGTCTTTGTGAGCCAAGTGGTACTTGTTTTTTCATATGATCATGAGCAAATAATAGTTCTTGTATTTTGTTTGATTAAAATTTGAGATAGTTATAGATGCACACATGGTGATAAGAAATGGAAAAATAGATAAAGGATCCTTCATCAAAATTATCTCAGTCAATTTTAGTCTCTGTGAATTTCACTCTTCTAGGTACCTCATATGAGTGAATTGTACAATATTTTACCTTTCGTTTCATTTTTTTCACTTATCATAATGTATTTAAGGTTCATTCAGGCTGGAATATGTATCAGGCTTTCATTCCTTTTTAAAGACCAAATAATATTCCATTGCATGCACTTACCATATTTTGTTTATCCATTGATGAGCATTGAGTTGTTTCTACCTTTTGGCTATTGTGAATATGCTGTCCTGAACAAACATAAAAATATGCTCTTTTTCAAGCATATAAAAATATGCAGTTCATCAAACATATGAAAAATATTTGTGTATCAGTAGGCTGGGGAATGTGGCTCAGTGTTAGAGAGCTTGCCCAGCATGCATGAGACTCTGATTTTGATCCAAAGAAGAAGAAAGAGCAAGAAGAAGAAGAAGACAATATTTATGTATCAAAAGAATAAAAAGATAATTCACAGAATGGGAGAAAATATTTGTAAATCTGATAAGATTGATGTCCAGAAATATAAAGAATTCTTATAAACAAATAGAAACAAAATTATTTAAATATGCATAAATGATTTGAATAGACATTTCTCTAAAGAAATATTGATGATCAATAAGCACATGAAGAAAAATTCAACATAAATAATCATGTAAATCAAAAGCACAATAAAATACCACTTCCACATTTATTAGAATGACTATACCAAAAAGACAAAAAAATAAAGTATTAGCAAGGATGTAGAGAAGTTGGAATCCATGTGCACTGCTGGTGGGAATGTAAAATGGTGCAGCCATTCTGGAAAACAGTACTGTATTTCCTCAAAAAATGAAGCATAGAATTACCATATTATTCAGCAATAATTACCATAGTATTCAGCAATTCTACTTATTGGTATATAGCTAAAAGAACTGAAAACAGGGACTTAGTGATATTTGTATACCAATGTTCAGAACAGCATATTCATAGCAGCCAAATGGTGGAAACAACTCAAAGCTCAGCCCTAGAAGAATAACTAAACAAAATATGGTCTGTGCATATAATGGGACATCATTCAGCTTTTTTAAAAAATATTTTTTAGTTGTAGATGAACACAATATCTTTATTTATTTATTTTTATGTGGTGCTGTGGCTCACATGTTAGAGGCAAGCGCTTTACTATTGAGCCACAACTCCAATCCCATCATTCAGCTTTTTAAAAGGAATAAAATCCTTCATCTCACACCAGTCAGAATGGCAATCATCAAGAATATAGACAACAATAAGTGTTAGCGAGGATGCGGGGGAGAAGGCACACTCATACATTGCTAGTAGGACTGCAAACTGGTGCAACCAATCTGGAAAGCAGTATGGAGATTCCTTAGAAAACTTGGAATGGAACCGCCATTTGACCCAGCTATCCCACTCCTCAGTCTATACCGAAAGGACTTAAAATCAGCTTACTATAGTAATGCAGCCACATCAATGTTTATAGCAGCTCAATTCACATTAGCTAAATTGTGGAACCAACCTAGGTGTCCTTCAATAGATGAATGGATAAAGAAACTATGGTTATTTTTATCCAATGGGATATTACTCATCATTAAAAGAGAATAAATTTATGGCATTTGCAGGTAAATGGATGGTATTGGAGAATATCATGCTAAGCAAAGTAACCCAATCCCCAATAACCAAAGGCCGAATGCTCTCTCTGATAAGTGGATGTTGAACCATAATGGGGGAGGGGGTGGCATGGAGAAAATGGAAGAACTTTGATTGGGCAAAGGGGAGGGTGGAGTGGGGATGGGGCATAAGGGCAGGAAAGATGGTGGAATGAGATGGACATCATTACCCTAGGTACATGTATGACTGCACATATGGTGTGATGCTACATCATGTACAACCAGAAAAATGAAAAGTTCTGCAGCAATTGTGTACAATGAATCAAAATGCATTCTGTCATACATACCTAATTAAGATAAATAAATAAATAAATTAAAAAAATTTAAACAAAGGAATAAAATCCTGATACATGTTATAGCCTGGATGAACTTTCATGCTAAGTGAAAAAAAACACACCAGAAACAAAAGGACAAATATTGTATGATTCTACTTACATGAGGCACCTAGGAGAGTCAATTTCACAGAGACTAAAAAGGGTTTAGGAATGGAGTGATGAGGAGTTATTTTTTAGTAGGTACAGAATTTCATTTTGAAAGAATGAAAAAGTTCTAGAGATGGATGTAAAAGTAAATGTAACTTAATGCCACTGAATTATAAACTTAAAAATGGTTAAAATCACAAATTCTATGTATACTTTACCACTATTTAAAAAAAGAATATAGAGAGACCCCATGTATTTTTTTACTATTTTCTCCATTGGTAGGTAACATCTTACAAAACTATACAACACAATATGCTAACATCAAATCTTATCCAGATTTACTCTGATTTTATGTGTATTCATTTGTGTGGTTTTTACATTTGTGAATGGTTGAAAGCAATAAAAGGAATATTTTGGTGATATCTGAAAATAATAGGAAGTTCAAATTCCAGTATTCATAAATGAAGTTTGGAGAATGGCCACACTCATTCATTGATGTATTATTGATAGCTACTTTTGTGTTGCAGTGAGAGAATAAAGTAGTTGTGATAGAGATTGTATGGCCTGCAAAGCATGAAATATTTATCATCTAGCCCTTTATAAAAAGTTTGTCGACTTTTGTTCCAGAGTAAATTCAGCTGCCAAGAAAGGGGTCATAAGTATAAAAAAAAAAAACCTTAGGGGAAATGACTGGATAAAGTTTAACCTTAGGCAAATGAATCATAGTGAAAATGGCAAATTGTGGAGAGTGATATTTATATAACTCAAGTCAAAGCTAATTGGCCTTTTTGGGAACCTTAACTGTTTCTAAGGTATACATTCTTAGCTCGTTCTACCAGGATGAGTGTGGAGTATTTTTCTTTTGTTTCTCTTGCTTTTGGTCATTGTACCAGCAGATATGCTTTTGGTGTATGTAACAGAAAATGCAAATGAATAGTTTCAATGTAGAAATTTGTATTAACTCTCATTATCATGTTAGAAGAAAGGAAGCTCTTGCATTGATTAATCAATGGCTCAATGATGTAAGGCAGGACCCACATATTTTCTACTCTTCTGTTTTGCCATTTCTGCCTGCTCTGAGGCTCACCCTCTCATGTTCTAAACATACCTGCACTGGCTCCTCAGGTTCCAAGATGTGAAGAGGTGAAGAGGCCTATGTTTTCCTCATGTTCCATCAAACACGATGTGATGAAGACTCTTGCAGAAGTCTCCTAGCAGATTCCCTCTCTGGGTTGCTTCACATGTCTCTTATAGCCTGGTAAGGGCAGGTAGAATACCGTGAATGGTCTAGATGAATCAAGATTCATCACCAGATGGGAAAGGGGCTGATGTTTCTGAAATACACAGTCATCTAATACTGAGCAAAACTGAAGATTTGTTAGCAAAATTTTCTTTGTGGGAGAAGGAAAGGAAGAAATAAATAGTGTCTGTCTTGGTCACAATTTGATGTCTACAATCTCAGTTGTGGAGTTCACCAGTTTCACTAAGTACAGTGTCTAATAGTGAAGCAAATATATCCTTTAATGAGGAAACCTAAATGACTCGATTTCCCTTTCTTCATTCCTCCTCCCTTTTTTCCTCTAAAAACTAACAGTCAACTTGGTCCCTCCTCTACGGGCATAAGTGATGGAGAAAGAAGGCCTCAGATTTTGTGAGACTTTGTTCAGTGCTATGGTCTGAATGTATGTGTCCCTTACTCCCAAATAAACATGTGAAAATCCTAACTCCCTTTCTGGGCATGGTGATGCACACCTACAATCCCAGTTACTTAGGAAGAGAAGGCAGGAGAATTGCCAGTTCGAAGCCAGTCTGGGAAACATAGAGACGCTGTCTCCAAAAAGACAGAGATCTTTTAGATAAAGATGCTGTCTCCAAAAACAGAGAGAGAAAAAGAAATTCCATCTATGTAGCCTTTTGGGAGACGACTAGGTCACGAGGTCACAGGGGTGGAGCCTTCATAAATGAGATTCCTTCCTTTATAAAAAGGGCATCCTATGGATGACTGCCTTGTCCTTCCACCACGTGAAGACACAGTGAGGAGGCGCCATTTTAATGAAACTGGAAATAGGCCCTCACTAGACACTGAATCTATTGGTAGCTTCATCTTGGGCTTCCCAGCCTCCAGAACTAGGAGTAATAAATGTTTTTATAAATTATTCAATCTAATCTATGGTATTTAGTTACAGCAGCCTGAAAAGAGTATCATTCTAATTATCAATACAGATCCATTTGTGCCAACAATCAACACAGCAATAATACTAAGTGAACACATATTATGTATGTGTCAGGTTCTGGGGATATAGCAGTTAAACAAAATAGACCTACAATGGATCTTACATTGTAGCAAGCAGATTGAGTGCACTTAATTCTAAAGTGTCCATTTAGTATCCTCTTCAGTCTGGGTCTTAACATATATTTGAATGTTGATTTTCCTTTCTTAGGTAACATAACTCAGTATTAGTCATCTCAATTTGTGGGTGGAAATAAAACACTCAGATCAATCTGATGCATACAGAATCTCAAGTTTACCCACAACCAACCTACCTCTTCTTTTTAGGAATAGGAGAAAAAATCTGAGAAAGGCACCTCTAATTGAAATAGAAAAAAAAGAATCAACAATATCAATGAGAGGGTTTCTAGCAGAGTGAAGTTGGGTGGGATTGGGGGTGATGCCATAAGAGAGAAGTCTGGGGGCTGAACACTTCCATAAACAGGGAGGTTGGGGCAAAAGTACATCCGAACTAGAAATTCTGGAGTAATGATAAAACTCTTCTCACTCTGATTTGGATCTGAAATCATGAGCATTGAGAAGTTTGAGATCTAAGGTTAGATCTATTCTGAAGACGACTGACCTGTCCAGAGTTAATCCCAAGGACCCCTTTCCCTTCTAGACAGCTGTGCTCCCTGCTTCTGGCCACCCCAGCACTTCAGTCCTTACCTGCTTCCTCCAGGAGACCTAGTGTGCCCACAAGATGGCTCAAGCCTCATCCAGGGAGGTTGGGGCTCCTCTCCCCCAGTCAGTTCTCTTTCCTTCCTAAATGATCTGTGATGCCATTTTTAGAGCCAGGATGCTTCCAACTCTCTTCCAGGCACCCGAGGACCTTCTCTGAAACTTCTTTTGTATGCCTCTGCCCCTGAGCAAGTGGAATGGATATCCTGAATAGATCTTGGACTTAGTAAGTGCTCTTAGAGCATAGGGGTCTTATTAGGAATGTGTGTGAGTGGGAGGGTGTGTGTGTGTGCAGTAGATTCTGGGCATGGCAAAGATTGTTTAGAAACAGTCACCATTATCAATGTTCCCAAGGTTAGGTGACAGAATCCTGGGATACGGAAGGCATGGTTGACTCCCTTGGTGAGCCAGCAGCACTTGAGTGTGAAGAGGTGGGAAGGAAGGAAGCTCCTCATAACTCACTTCAAAATCTTATTATTTTGGTCTGGTCAGTAAAGATTTTTATTTTATTTATTTATTTTTGCTACAAATCCATATATCCATGCTAAAACTATAATCAGAATTCTTTTGAAAGAATGGTTTATTAATTCACATCTCTAATCCTCTCTCCAGAAAGAAAATATAAAATACAACAACACTAAGTGAGTAATGATTAGAAACAAAGGAAGAAAGACAACCTAAAATGGAGTCAGGAGTCTATCTACACCATAGTTACTAGGCATAAAGCCTGGTGTGGTGGTGTACTCCTGTAATCCTAGCTACTCAGGTGGCTGAGTCAGGAGGATTCCAAGCTCCAGGCCAGCCTCAGCAACTTAGCAAGACCCTGTCTTGAAATAAAAACAAAAAGTGCGGGAAATGTAGCTCAGTAGTAAAATGCTCCTGGGTTAAATCCCAAGTATCACAAGAAAAAATAATTACAAGGCATGACCCATTGGCAGATTTAGCTTTGGGTTTACCAGCAGGCAGCTCAAAATGGGAACAGTGACTACTTATATAGTTCACATAGTCAATAAGATAAAAAGGTCAGTGGCCCCAAAGAAGTACATCCATTCCTGGAATTAGGGTCAGAAAAATTCTCTGGAAAGAGCTCCAGAAAAAGACAGGGTGAAATGTTGAACAATGTGCTCCATCATATCCTTAGCGGAAGTCTAGCGATAAGCTCTTCCTAACAGCATCCTTCAGAAAAGTAATTCTACTCTTGGAATGGTGAAAGAGGTTTCTTTGAAATTTCAGTATGTATTCATAACTTTGAAGAGCCAGAAACATATTGCCAGTTTAGGACATTTCAATATTTCAGTGAGGAAAAAAAAAATAGCAGTCTATTTTCTGTAGAAGGACTAAGTCCTGTCTTCAAAACTCCAGTGCCTTTGCTCTTTTCTCCTATCAACACACACACACATACACACACACACACACAGACACACACCTCTAAATTTTATTCTATAGCTTAGCTGAATGAAGGAAAGGTTATAATGTAAAATCTATTTTTAAAATGGAACAGGAACAAGAAGCCATCAATTAAGGAAATGAAGAACTGAGACTTGGTAGTAAATTATAATTAAAAAATCATTCATTCTTATATAGTGATGGAGCCAGATTTTGCATGAGTCCTGAAGCTTATATAATTTTGGGTGCTGTTTAAGGAAAAGAATGTAAAATTATGAATATAAAAATTGGTATGACTCAGAATTAAAAGAGAATAAAATCATGGCATTTGCAGGTCAGTGGATGGAGTTGGAGAATATCATGCTAAGTAAAATAAGCCAGTCCCCCAAAACCAAAGGCCAAATGCTTTCTCTGGTATGTGGATGCTGATCCAAAATGTGGGGATGGAATATGGGAGGAGTGGAGGCACTTTATATAGGGCAAAGGGGAGGGAGGGGAAGGGAGGGACATGGGGGTAGGAGAGATGGTGGAATGAGATAGACATCATTACCCTAAGTACATGTATGAAGACATGAATGGTGTGACTCTACTTTGTGAAAAACCAGAGACATGAAAAATGTGCTCTATATGTGTACTTACTATGGATTGAAATGCATTCTGCTGTCATGTATAACAAATTAGAATAAATAAATATATTAAAAAAAATTGGTATGAGGCTGGGGCTGTGGCTCAGCGGTAGAGCACTTGCCTTGCACGTGTGAGACCCTGGGTTCGATCCTCAGCACCACATAAAAATAAATAAGTGAAATAAAGGTATTGTGTCCAACTCAACTAAAAAATAAATGTTTTTTTAAAAATTGGTATGAAATAAGTATACAGAAAGAAAAAATGAATCATAGTAAGTTCCTAGAATAGGGCTGAAGGTATGGCATAGTTGGTCCAGTGCTTGCCTAGTATGTGTAAGGCCCTGGGTTTGATTCCTAGCACTGATGAAAAAAAAAATTACTAAATCCTTGGAGATCCATGTCCTTTTCTTCTGAGATTAGGCAATTTACCAAAAATTCTTACATAGAAACAATTCCTGAATGTATCCTGCCTTCTATTTCCCACCAGCAGCTAACCCCAGCACTCTCAGGAGAAGAATAAACCTATTTTACTGATGATGCAAACTTTGAACTGCTCTTGACAAGACTAGACACAAATCAATTCCTCCATTTCTTTGGAAATCACTTCATATTCATTTGAAAGAAATAATATCTTCCAGCTTTGTTTTTACATACAAAGTGATAATGTGCCTTTTCTTAGCAGCAGAGCTCTAAAAATGGGTATCCTTGGCTATTGTGCAAGAGACTTTCCAGAGAAGTATCTTGGGGCCAAACAGGAGGAATGTAAGATTTGCTCTGCTCTGTGAGGCAAACAGCAAGTTGGGAAAGTCTGTTATCTCTGAATGCATTTTCTGTACCATCTTGTCATCTATTGAAATTGCATGAAAAGCTATACTCAGGTTTTCATTGACCAGTTATGAGAATTTTATTTTATTTTTGGTGCTAGGAATTGATCTCCTGGGTACTCAACCACTGAGTCATATCCCCAGCCCACTTTTTGTATTTTATTTAGAGACAGTCTTGCTGAGTTGCTTAGGGCCTCACTAAGTTTCTGACGCTAGCTTTGAACTTGTGATCCAGCTATGAGAATTTTGACTTCAACCTTGTAACTAGTAAGTTGAAAGTAGAAATGCCAATTGAAAAAACCATCTCTGACCTGAAAAGTAAATTATGATAGGATCTATCCTGAAACAAAATCGGAAGTGTGTAGATTTCACTTAATTCGTTTCCTCTTCACTTCTTGTAGTTTTACCCTGAAATTGAAGCAATGTTAGCATGTTTGTCACACAATAGGTTTTCTATAGTAAGAGT